ACCAGATGGCTGCAAGAAGTGTTCCTAAAAGACAAAACTAAAAAAAAAAAAAATGTATCACCTATGGAGGCTGGTCTCTTAGGGCAACCATCCCTACCAGGTGAAATGGCCAGCAATTTTTTCAAAAAAAGGTTGTCTCCAATATTTTAAAACTATAGTCTTTCCTGTCCCATGTATCCTTCCATGAGCCATTTCAATGTAGAGAGAATCCTGGATAGTTTTCTGTCAATCTCTCATTCTCTGGCCAATCCGCTCTCTGTACCGCTCAACCATTCTCGATCCAAATAATTGCTAGGCCAGGAGCATCCACCCATCTGTCTCCAGGCAGAAAAATCAATTTTTTATCTTACCAGGGCAAATTATTACAACTTTCTTGCTGCACTCAATGCAAACTGAAATAGTTGTGCCCTTCATAATCTTATACCACAGGTACTCCTGTGGACCACCTGAAAATTGCAAATTTTTGGAAAGCTTTTATAATCTAGATAGTTTTGAATCCAGATTATAAAAGACATTGGTTACATTATACAGGAAGAGGATCTCAATGGTTGTCTGCTTTGCATACAGGCACCTGCAAATTCAATCCCTACCAGTTCAGAATCTCAGGAACTGGGGATGGGAAAGACCTTGTTCTGGCACCCTGGGATAGATAGACCAGCGATTTGACTTGGTGCCAAACTAAGGACTCAGCTATATTAGGAAAGAAAAAGTGTTTTATATGCATTATAATGCTGTGACACCAGATGGCTCCCATCTTTCGCCAACGTGATTTCGCATAATGAAGTTTACAACATGTTTTCCAAAAACACTTTTTTGATGTGTGTAGATCCAGCCTAAGTGCCAATAAGAGACTTCCTTCTGATGCAAACTACTAGCTTCAGGGGAGGATTTTTCCTTAGGACCTAACAATTACTAGTCTCTCCTCAACTAATGCATGGTTTTTGTTTGTTTTTTTAATGCAAATGACACATTAAAAGCAGACACATTTAACATCAAGTCTAGTTTGTTTCTCAGAATATTGTTGCACGCCACCCCAATCTCAGTGTTACGGTGTTCCAGGAAGTTACCCAGGGTTTGTGTTTCCTTTGGAATTAGTTACAGCAGAGATATATTGTTTATTTGCACATATACACAACCTGAGCCTATGATGGAGGGGTTCACAGCATTAACACCCCAAGAGGAACTTTCTTCTCCTATAGCTGCAGCCTTGAATTCAAACGGAAATCAAGCATTGCTGTGACTTTCTGGCTTCCTAGCCTGCTACTTTTCCACTTCTAGTTTCTAGCTCAAATCACCCAACTCTCAACTGTGGTCTTTGCCTTTCTAACTACTAGTGAGTTGAGGGAACAGGCCCACCTCACTTCCTTTGTTCCCTTAATGGCCCATTACCTAGGCTATCACCTCACGAGGAATTTGAACCCTTGCTTATAATAACACTTGCTGGATCCAAGGGTTAGAAAGGTCTCGACCTACAGTCTACTCCCGCACCCCAAACTCATGACAGTATAAAGCAGTGTCATGTACTTACAGGGCTGGCTCATTTCAGTCCACTAAGCACTTGCAACTCCTTTCAAGGCCACAGCCAGTCTTTCTAAATACATATGCACATTTGTATAAATCTAAAGTCCTGAGCTTCTGCTGTTACTCACTCTGTGCAGTCGCACGGCAGTGGGTGATGTGACCCACCCATCTTGAAATACTGAAATATGTTGCCTAACAATGTACCATGCCTGCAAGTTGAGGCAGTATCTAATGACATGGGTCTGTTGCACCTTCCTCCCACTTGCTTTCAAATGCTGTTCTCAGAAGCACCTTCCCTCTAAAACCACATTTGCAGTGCTCATTTGATCCAGAGCTCATAAGGAACCTGGCCTGTTTTTAAGGCAAGAGTTGGCAGCTTTTAAGAGAAGCTGGTGAGATTTTGCTGGTTCTTGTATGCAGGTGACTGAAATTCGGTAATGGGTCTTCTCAGTAGCGGCGCCTGCCCTGTGGAACGCCCTCCTACCAGATATCAAGGAAATAAACAACTATCTGACTTTTAGAAGACATCTGAAGGCAGCCCTGTTTAGGAAAGTTTTTAATGTTTGATATTCTATTGTGCTTTTAATTCTATTGGGAGCTACCCAGAGTGGCTGGGGAAACCCAGCCAGATAGGCGGGGTATTAATAATAATAACTATAACAACAACAAACAACAACAATAATATCTGACCTTCCAGTTGCCAACCCCTGCTGCTGGGGTTCTCAACAGCCCTACAGCAATAAACCAGAACCTTCACGGGAGTTGTGGTGGCAATATTATTATTATTAGGCATTACTATTTGTTTACATTTGGTAGTTGCATTATACAAAAAAAAGGTCTCCAAGCGACTCAACAAGATAAAATGCAAACAGGTAAAATCAATTGAAAACCAGCAAATGTAAAACAATGCCTAAAATTTTCATCCATCAACACAATATGGGCAAGTACTACCCCAGCCCACCAAAAGATGAGCACCACAGTGGAGGCTAACTTAATTAAAAAAGATGGGTAGTTAAAACTAAAACAAAGCTCTGGGGCTGGCTGGAGGCTATGTGGGAAAGTGGCGGCTGCTGCTAGGCTACCCTGCACACCAACTCTTAGGCAGGGAAGTTGAGCAGCATAAACAAAGTCCCCCTACACCTCTGGTATTTTGGGGGCTTCCTCCACCCTCATTGGGGTGGGTAGGGACACTTCCAGAAAGGCCTGTTCATAACATAACGTTTGCTCTTTGCAGTACTTCATTCTAGTCTGGAGGATCTTTATGTATTGATACTTGAATTCTCATAGCAGATGATAAGTTATCATCGCCTCTAACAGGAAGTGGCCTACCCACTCTGGGATTGGGCCATACCCATTGTGATTCCTGAGCAATGCAGGGCTTCAAGGGCATTGCCAATGGAAGCCCAAAAGCAATGGAACAAAGTCTTAATATATTTGTGAAGGCTGCTGCCAACCACTGCTGTGCTGAGACTTCTACCCCCTTGGCCATATGAATTGTTTGGTATGTGCCTTTGGGGCTTGGAAATGTGATGCAGGTTTCTATAAAGGCAGGATTTCTGCATTTCTGGCTGTATCCCAATCCTAGAGTCCTACGGAGAGGACATATTCTGTTGACAAAGACTTGTTAAGATCACAGATTTACACTGAATAGCTTTGCAGCCAAAGGTACAATTGGAACTTTTACCTATTAAAGGAATGTAGGTCAGCTACATGAATTCTCTCTCTGAAGCCAAACAAACCTAATTTTATATGAATCAAGGAGACACAGTGGGAGATGGTTGATTTTTAGTAACAAAGGTTCAGAGGCACTAAACAGGCAATCTGGACGTTTGAGGAATAAGCTCAGTAGAAAATAAACATGCCTATGGTTGCCAGATCAAAGTGCTAAAAATCAGAGAGGTTTGTTCTGTTAGAGCAGGGAATATTCTGAAATATTCAGTATCCCTTATCTTCTATAGCCATTTCAAGCATGCTACCACCAATGAATATTTTCACCCAGCAAAAAATCCTCGAGCAAGTTATGCAAGGTGTGGCACCATTAAGTCATTCAGAGCACTGGCTAGGCCTCGAGCAGGTCTCCTGCTGTTTTATCATGAATTGTGTGTGGAACATCTCACTAGCACCCTTCCATAACTTTACATCAAGGAGTGTCCTCCATGACCCACCTCCTCTTTCAAGAACCCTTGATAAGCTTCTGAGGAACTCTCCAGGAAATAGTTTAGAAACCACTGTTGTGTAGGATGGCAATACTGTCAAATAAGGAACAATCCTTTAAATCAGGGTTGTTTGGTAATCTTACTGAGATGATATAGCTCATGCTGAACTAGAAGCACTTCCTTGCTCTGTTCAGTTTAACCAAGAGGCTTTAGACCTGTTGGATGGGCTCGCTTGCTTCAATTATGCCTCTTTTTGGAGATGACAGGAATGTCTATGTAAAATGTAGTATCTGTGACCATGAACTGGAGTTAACACTCTTAGTTTTAAGAGATACAGGCTGCATACACACTGGACACTGAAAGCACCCTCCCCCAAAAGAATCCTGGGAACTGTAGTGTAATAAGTATGCTGTGTATTGCAGCTCTGTGAGGGGTAAACTGCAGTTCCCAGGAATCTTTGCAGGCGGGGGAATGTGCTTTGAATCTATGGTCTGTACAATAAATTCAAAGTATATATTCAGAAACTTTTTTGAAAAACATAGCTATTGTAATGATGGAAATATGGCTAGAGAATTCAATGGATAGGCAGTACACATGCAAGGAAATGAATTATAACCCTTGAGATAATACCCAGGCTATTTTCTGTGAGGTAATTCCATAGTCACCCTTTTCAGAGTGGCGTCACATTTTCTTGCATGCCAAGAAATAAAGCTGTTTGCACATGGTGATGGTCAGAAGCCCTGAATTCAGCTCACACCACTTTCTCTGTAAGTGAAACTAAAATGGAATGTCTTCACTGTGTCTTCTGGAAGCCATAAGAAAAGCAACGATTGTGCGTTAATGATTAACCCCCCATATATATATTTAAGAGGGACGTGGGTGGCGCTGTGGGTTAAACCACAGAGCCTAGGACTTGCTGATCAGAAGGTCGGTGGTTTGAATCCCCGCGACGGGGTGAGCTTCTGTTGCTCGGTCCCTGCTCCTGCCAACCTAGCAGTTCGAAAGCACGTCAAAGTGCAAGCAGATAAATAGGTACCGCTACAGCAGGAAGGCAAACGGCGTTTCCGTGCGCTGCTCTGGTTCGCCAGAAGCGGCTTAGTCATGCTGGCCACATGACCTGGAAGCTGTACGTTGGCTCCCTTGGTCAATAAAGCAAGATGAGCGCCGCAACCCCAGAGTCTGTCACAACTGGACCTAATGGTCAGGGGTCCCTTTACCTTTATATATATTTAAATGGATTCAACCTTTCTGGATTACTTGAGTAGACTGTAGGGCCATGAGATGTCCTAACCTCACCTACTCTTTCTCTCCAATGTCTGACAGGGATTGGAAAGAATGTCATTTGCGACAGGACAGCCACTCCACTGGATGCCTTTCGGATGATGACAGCTGCGCACTATTACCCCAAGCTCATGAGCATCATGGGCAACGTCCTCCGCTTCCTGCCTGCCTTTGTGAAGATGAAGCAGCTGATCCAAGAGGGCTACGTTGGAGAACTGCTTGTGTGCGAGGTACAAGTTCACAGCGGGAGCCTGCTGGGGAAGAAATACAACTGGAGCTGCGATGACTTGATGGGGGGCGGGGGGCTGCATTCGGTTGGTACCTACATCATTGACCTCTTGACCTTCCTCACTAGCCAGAAGGCTGTGAAAGTGCACGGGCTGCTTAAGACCTTTGTGAAACAGACGGACTACATCAAGGGAATCCGCCAAATCACGAGCGACGACTTTTGCACGTTTCAGATGGTCCTGGAAGGCGGGGTGTGTTGCACCGTCACCCTCAACTTCAACGTGCCCGGGGAATTTAAGCAAGATATTGTTGTGGTGGGCTCCAGCGGGAGGCTGACTGTAATAGGCATGGATTTGTATGGGCAGAGCAACAGCTCGCCACAAAAAGAGCTCCTTTTGAAGGATTCCACCCCAGTCAGCAATGCCCTGCTGCCCGAAAAGGCCTTCAGCGACATCCCTTCCCCATACCTCCGTGGAACTATAAAGATGGTGCAGGCTGTCCGTCAAGCGTTTGAGGATCAAGATGACAGGCGGACGTGGGACGGGCGGCCGCTCACAATGGCTGCGACTTTTGATGACTGTCTCTATGCTTTGTGTGTGGTGGACACCATTAAAAAATCGAACCAGCTAGGAGAATGGCAGAACATTGCGATCATGACTGAGGAGCCAGAGCTGAGCCCTGCTTACTTGATCAGCGAAGCAATGCGCAGGAGCAGAATGTCTCTGTACTGCTAGGGGTTGATTTTTCTGTCACCTCTCAGAAAAAGGTGGATCATTGCAGTTCTTTCCTAACAGAAAAAACATGCCATGTGTCTCAGGCCTTGGACAAAGAAGACAATATAGGGAATAAATCCTTGCTATGTAAACCACATTGCCTAGTTGGTGCTGAAATATTAGATGCGTTCGAAATGCTTGCTTTGATAGTTGTTCGAGACTCTGTTAAAGAGAAACTTGCATTAACTGTTTACAAAATAGCATTATAGGAAGGTAGAACAGCATCCATTTACAACCTACAGGTGCATAGCTGATGCAGTTGCGTTTACTGTGAATAAAAGGTTTGGGGAGGTCTAGTTTGAGACATTCTGCAAAGCTGGTGACTTATCAGAAAGCCCCTTCCTTGCAGAAAGCAAAACTGGCTGGCTTCTGACATGGGCACTTGCAGTCCCGCTGATAATAGCATGCTAATTGATTACTGCATCATTCAGTAACCCATGCACCTGTATCAGTTTCATAGAATAAGAACACTTTGGGTATGACTGTGTTGTGTGACCTGGAAAATTTGGCAGCTTGGTTTTCATAGTTAATAATGAAGGTTTATGTTCTGTTTGGACTCCCCCCCCTTTCAAGGTAACAGAAACAGAAACATGTATATTTTAAAAAATACATGCAGCTCCAAAATAGCAGCATGTTTCTCCTAGGGCCCTGGAAGAATTCAATACGACACACAACAATATGCAGAGAAATAAGGGAAATTACTTACAGGGTGACCAGCCAGTCTCCTTATGTTCTCGGATTGTTGATAAATTCCAGAGAGACAACCATGTCAGTCTGCCATAGCAAAACTAATATAGAATCATAGAGATGGAGGGGACCCTGAGGATCACCTAGTCCAACCCCCTGCAATGCAGGAATATGCAGCTGCCCCTTACGGGGACCGAGCCTGCACCCTTGGTGTTACCAGCACCTTGCTCTAACCTAGTAAGCTATCCATGTTTAGTACTGTGCAAAAGCTTTCATGGACCAGAGCTTACTTTGTTAGATGCACAAAGTAGCCCATCAGACAAGGCGTGTACGGTCTACAAAAACTTGATCGTTTTTTTAAGGTGTCACAGGACTCTTTTTTTCTGACTTGGGGTTTGGTCTTTAGGGCCCACACTAGGACAAGATTTTCAAAAGCATAGGTTTCAACAAAACCTAACATGTTTTAGGAGGAAATTGCACAAAAACAGAGCATGATTTGTCCAAAGTCTAGGTGAGATGTAGAGACTGCTACCTGAACAGCTACTAGATAATTTTCTCTTGGCTTGCACATCATCGCTGAGATGACATGGAAGCTTGCACTGAAAAAATCTAACTGGGTACTTACTCCTAGAACAGTAAAGGAGTTTACCTTTCCTTTTGGTATCTACTGGACTTTAAATGTATTCAGTCCATTTCACTTCTTTGTAGGTAGTTAATACATTATCTTATTACTTCCTTGCATCATTGAATTCCAGTTACATATTTTTTTTGGATCAATGCCTTGATGCAGACTCTCCTTCCTTCTCCAACACCTGAAGAGGTTGCCTGCATTTGGAGCAGTAGATGGGAGACTAAAAGATGAAATGAAGGAAGAGTGGGTAACAGCACTCCTACTAAAGGTTATCTGTACTAGCCATCCCTGATTGTGATGTGCAACAGCAGGATGCACATAGGATGCATATAAGATTTCTGGGCAGAGGAGCAGATTTCTGCTAGATGGCACTGGAGGCATCAGATCACGGAAGGGAGGATAAGCTTAGAAGGGGTGGTTGCAAGTTCCAAGAAATCTGAGAACTGAAACACTGTGCTGTACGATTTGACAATACAAATAATCAAAGGCTCTCCATTTGTGTTGCTGTGTTTCCAGCTACCACCTCTTGAAAAGCACTTAAATGACTAGCATATTAACTGTATCATTTATACTATTTTATAGGATTCTCATTTTTTTTTAAAGATTACCCATCAATCTTATTGGTGTCATTTTGTACCACTGCGGAAAGGTCTAGTCAATTCAATCATCTCTTTGTTTTCCTGTCATTCTCTTATGCTGAATATCGGTCAGGGTGGTGCACTAACAATGTTAAAAAGCAAAGAGGAAAATAGAGTACCCAGTTCTATAAATCCTCTTATGTGTAGAATTAGCATGCCTTCATCTTTCAGTGATTAATTGCAACCCGCTACTTAATCTGGATCTTAAATGATGCCTTGTTTTTATTTTTTTTAACCTTAAATCCAAGTGTACATTTATTGCTGTATATATTTATTGTGTTTTACAAGTGTGTGTGTGTGTGTGTGTGTGTGTGTGTGTGTGAGAGAGAGAGAGAGAGAGAGAGAGAGAGAGAGAGAGAGAAGCAAACTAGGTATATACAAAATGTCATTGCATGGGCATTTTATGTACAGTAGATATTTTAAAAGTTATTTATCAAACAAAAAGTGTGTGATAAAACAGAGTCTATATTTTATATATCTATACTGTAGATAGCAAAAACGAAACCGCATTTAAATTATAGCAAGAGGATATGGGAGTATTTTTTAAAGAAAAGGGAAGGCCTGTGGTGGTTTCTAGCATTTTGACAGCTTGGCTACTTTTAACGGAAAGTTGATTTTGTGGCTCTCGGCTGCAGCAAAGTCTGTCCTCCTCCTCCTTCAAAGGATGATATCCGTGTATTACTTTTCCATTGCTTGGGGAATGTAGTTAGTTATAGCCAGCCATGAGCATATATGTGCTGCTTAAAACATGGGTTTCCTGCTGTTCTTACATATTTGCACTGTTGGAATAAAGAGAAGCTAAACAGTGAATAAAGACATAAAAGGAAATGGGATTGCAGCTGTCGGCTGTTCCTCAGTTGTGTTTTCTTCCTGCAGTGAAATAGCTTTTCAGTTTTCTCCTGCCATCTCTTACAGGTATACCAGTTTGATTTTACAGACTTGAATGAAATAGCCAATATTCCTGCTTCTGAAAGTTGGGGGCGGGTTTTGGGGAGGTGGAGAAGAGAGAAGGGAAGCACAGAGGTAAGAAAATGGTTTTAACTGGTTGCCCATCCCCAAACTTCTGCTGAAAAATGTAAGTCAATCACTAACACCCCAATATTATTCACCTGTTCTGTATGGAACAGAGTTGTGTGAGGCTGTGGTGTGGGATAATGGATGAATCCTAGAGATTACCATTTTGAGGTGGTGATGGATGCTGTAACACTACAATATAACTCCCCTCCTCCCCAACTTAATTGGGTTAGGGAAAGTTTAATCTGAGTCTTGCCAGATGCCTGCAGCATATCATTGCAGCCCAGTGACCATCATACATATCAGCTTCACAAACTCTCAGCCAGACACTCAACAGTGGCTTCTTCACATCAATTACCTCCTCAACATGGAGCAAAACAGCTGTGCCATCAGAGAGGTTTACTGAGCTAAAGCTTGAGCTCGTATAACAAGAGACATTGATTGTGTTTTGACTTAGCCCAGAACCCAATTGAGGTTTCCATTCCTTGATTTTGAACTAATTTTGCCAGGCATTAGCCTTCTTTTAAAGAGCTGCCACTTTTTTCTAGCACATTCCAGGATTCTCTGATTGTAGGCTAAACTGGGCAGGCACAGAAGACTCCCAGAAACATCATTGTTACTCAGAAAAGTGGATTGGGGGGGGATTAGTTCAGTTTGCATTTTAACATCAACTACCTAATTCATTTTCATATCAAAACATGAATACGTGAATCAAAACACAACTTTCTTTCAAAATTCACACTTCTCCAACCAAACAGTGTACAGAAATAACACGCATTAGGGGAAAGTGTGCACAATGATAAGGAAGGTGATGAGGAAATGTGCTGGAAAGTGTGGGGTAATGCTTGCTTGATCCATTGTCTAACCTCCCCACAAACAAATTGGGATAAACGCTCACTATAAAAAGGTTGTCTGGAAATGCTCAAAACCTTTACCCATTTCTTAGGGTGAGATACGTTGGTTGCGAGGCATGCAAATAGGCCTAAGCTGGGGATACAGACTCATATATTGGCTGGCTGTTGCCTTAAGCGGGGTGGGGGGCGGAAGAGATTGGCTTTCCTAAGGAAAGGGGTTTGGGAACCTCTCTACTTGGCCAGGGGTTACAGGTGCTCCAAATACAGTTGATTGCCATCCCCATTAGCTTTCCAAATAGAGCTTCTCTTGCCAACAAAGCGGCTCAAGCTGGAGAAAGCAGACACACTTGTGCAAATGCTTCCACAACACTTTTTCCTGCAATGGCCAATATGGATATTTATCATCTTTCTGTGCTAATTCAAAGGCTCCTTTAATATTTGAGGCAAGAGCTCATTAACTCTCAATAGAACCCTGGGGTAACATAATAAAAACAAGTGCTGGGCGATGCAGCTGTATGGATAGGATACAATTGCAGTATGGCATTAGCGGTGAAGCCAGTAAACATGGACACAACATAAGTGCTAAAAACAATGACAGATGAATTGGCATAAGGTTATCAAAGTGTAAAGGTGTGTGTATATGGTTCTATTTTTTAAAAAAATAAAGATATATGGTGGGATTACCATCAAACTAGGAAAGAAAATTGCCTTTCTCATGTGTCTTTAACACCAACACAACAGGCAAAAAGCAGGATTTTTTTTCAGAGTGTGGAGATAAACCGCCAGCTGCTGGTGTCAAGCTGTTAATCAGAGGGAGAGGAAGTAGCTTTTCTCCATTGTGCCTCTGTTTAGCTTCAGCTGATACGCAAATGCCTCCCACCCACCTGCAGCTACTAACTGCAATCGCCAAGGCCATCAGATGGAGAGAAAACAGCACTAGGCCCATATGTAACTCCTTGACTTGCTGAATTCAGACTCTGCACAATGGGAAGGAAAGTGAAGCCAGTCTTTGCCGTACCAGAAAAGGAGTGTGATTTCAAACCCCCATAAAGTCAATCCAGCTGGTATGAGAAACTCCAAAAAAAGAAGGGAGCTCTGCGTCTGTCAGCAGCATGGGACGTGTTGGAGCAACAACATGTAAGCAAATTAAATCGGCTACCGTTCTTGTTGATCAGGTTTAATCTTAATATTATTGAGATGTATGTTGTAAGCTGCCTTGGATGTGTGTGAAGATGCAGAAAGCAATTGCAATAAGGCACAGCTGAGCATTTGGTTGAAATGTGGTGACCAGAGTTACTGCAGGAGACCCAAGCTAGCCTTCCTGCCCAATTTTATGGTTGGGTTGCTACTTGGCTGACTTTTTAAAAAGTAAATAAATGTCCCGGGTCTACCTTTAATGGCAGTTTCTGGTTGTTTTGTGCACTTGGGAATTGTTTCTTCCTCTACTAACATCAGCATGAGAACAGGGCTCAATTGTGCACGCCAATTAAAGGTATACGAGCCTTCTCTCCTTTTTCCATCTGGCCACCCTAATCAGCACCTTCAGTTGCCAACTTTGGGGCAGGGCTTATGTCCCCTCAGAGTAGCTTACAAAAAATTAAACTAGTGAATGGCTTGATTAGGAAAGTTTCAGCTGCTTAATTTCTGCAAGTTGGGCTGCTGCTATTGGCATGGTGGGAAAATGCATTTGAAATGGAGTATTCCAATGAATTATTTTTCCACCTCTGTCAAAAGTAGCCTACAAGCCGGTCAAAAGCCGTTAGCAAACTGGGACACCCAAAAAGTATTCCAGTTCACTAGAAAATGCTACCATTTGGAGGAATGAGTCTCAGAAAAACAGAGAGTTCCACATAATGAAAACCAAGTCTATGATTTATAATGGTTACAGTGGTACCTTGGGTTACAGACGCTTCAGGTTACAGACTCCGCTAACCCAGAAATAGTACCTCAGGTTAAAAACTTTGCTTCAGGATGAGAAGAGAAATTGTGCGGTGGCAGTGCGGCAGGCCCCATTAGCTAAAGTGGTACCTCAGGTTAAGAACAGTTTCAGGTTAAGAACGGACCTCCGGAACAAATTAAATTCTTAACCCGAGGTACCACTGTATATCCTCACATGCAAAAGGATCCCAGGCTCAGTTTCTGCCATCCCACAATATAACTTTGGGATACTCTCTGCCTTTTAGTGTCCTGAGCTACATGGGTCAATTGTCTGACTCGGCAGATAACATAGGGGATGCAAAACTCTTCTGTAAACCTTAAAAGCCAGTGGCCTTTTCTAGGAGCCAGGTGGCAGGGAGGGAGACCCCTGTGCCAGTGAAGGGGGGGGGGGAGAATACTTTTTTCTGCTGATGTGTTTTGGTCTTCCTGCTTTGGGCATAGAAAGTAATCTGGTGAGTGGAAGTAACTGGGCTGGGAAAGGCAGATAGTAAAAGGAGTCTGCAGCTAGGTCTCACAAACAGCAACAACTCTGAGGTAGATTAGGCCCAGAGATCGTGAGTGGCTCAAAGTCAAGCAGTGAACTTCCTGGCTGAGCAATGATTTAAATCCTTATTTCCCAGGTCCTAGTCCGACACTCTTTAACGACTACGCAATGCCATACCCTCCAACATGCCTCAGATGAAAATGGGGACATTTATCACTCTCCGCAACTGACCCTCTTCTGCCCCCCATTTTTGTCCCCTCAGACCATTTCCACCACACCAATCGGGCACAGCACACACACCCTCCACTGTCCTGAAAAAAGCAATTAACCCTGATTTTATTTAATTCTTTGGTAGATTTACAAAAAGAAACACCAAGAAATAAATTTTAGAAAGGTTCCAGATTAGACGCGGATGCACAAAGAGTGTGTGTATATGATTCCTTGCGCTCTGCTCGGCTTCCCCTTTCTTCTCACCTAGAGCAGCCCTGTTCTCTGCCAGCACCTCAGGGCTGGTGCGTCACGCAAGGTTGGGCCTTGCCCTCCTCTCCAGCCGCCGGTATGAGCTGCTCAGGGAAGGAGGCCAGCAGTGGCAGCCATGTAGCGGCAACAGGATGCTCTCTCTCTGCCACCATTGCTCGGGAAAAGCGCTGGCTCATCCTCTTCCCCGAGCTTGGCAGGGAAAATAAGGACATTCTGGGATCTGATCAGAAGCCAGGGTGGCTTTTTGCAATTCCAGACCTGTCCTTGGAAAATAGGGAAACTTGGAGGGTATGCAGTACCCACTGGCTCTTCAGACTTTGAACGTCCAGAATTGTAAATACACCTGAAATGGGCAACTAGTTTAAGCATCACTGTAGCTGAACTCAGTAAACCACGCATCGTCTTCCCCTATGCCCTGCCAATTAATTTTTACATGCAGGTAGAAAATGTTACATCCCCGCTAGCAAATCTCGCCAGTGTGTTACAGTGGTTAGAGTGCTGGACTAGGATCTGGGTGGTCTTGGCTCAAATCCCCCCTCAGCCAGGAAGCTCACTGGGTGACCTTGAGTCAGCCACAGTCTCTCTCTGCCTGACCTACCTCACAAGGGTAGTTCCAAGGTTCCCTGGGAAGGGGGGGAATGAGTATTAAACCAATTTAAGGTTGTAATGCCTAGACGATTACAGCTCAGTGTACAGTACACATCCTATTTTTGGAACTAAAACTCATGGTATCCTTTATAGTTTAAACCTTGGGTTAACTATCTTAATGCCTTTATCTACAGTGGCACAGACATATTAGTACTGTATGTTTTCTTCATATACAACACTAAAAGCAGCTCCCATGCTGCCTGCATATGAGTTAATGTTTTAGTTATATTCTAGGAAATGGGGGTGGGGTGGGGTTAATTTTTTTGAATTGTATATTGAATTGATCTGGATGTGAACAACAGCAAAATTCAGACTGCGGAACTGCAAAAAACACCCTCATTTACACAGGAAGAGGCGGCTTCATCTTGGAGAAAGTTGCCAGAGGGGCTGTGTGGAACTAGGCCCAATTACCTAATTAGGAGCTAATTAGGAGGAGAACACTAGCCAGAAATGAGAGCAAATCCGAAGGGATTGTGTGTGATGAAGTTAACCTTGCTTCACCCTTTTATTTCTCTCTCTCACACAAAACACGTACTTGCTCTTTAGTACAGAAATGAATAAAGATCTGGCCACAACAGAAGCAAACAGTAAAATATGTGGCTATAAAATTATAATAAAATATTATCTGAGTAGACAGGTCTTGGAAGATAATGGCAGCCAAGATTTAGGATTGCCATCCAGTGCTATATATATATATATGTGTGTGTGTGTGTGTTTCTGAGCTTTTATCTTCTACCCATTATGCAGTTGTTGAAGCTTGGGGCCTTTTCTCAAGGGGATGGGGAAATGTGGCAATACTTCTTACAGCCCAGTCCACTGTTCACTGAGAAATGAGTCCTATTGATTCCAATGTGATTAACCTGCAGGTGTGCATGTTTAAGATTGGGCTTTAGCTGCAGATTACAGGGTGTCCTTTGGGACTCAATTTCATCCACCTTTATGTCCTCTCTCTTGTCTGCAATATCTTTCTGTACCTTTTAATAACTTTCTGGATGGGTTGCCATGTTATTCTGCCACTAAGGCAGAATAATGCCTCTCTGTCAGGAACTTCTAAAATAAAAATATGAAGCTTAATTTGAGTTGTACCAGATGCAATTTGAGTTGTACCAGATGCAACTATTTCTATGTGTACCAGGGGGACTTGCATTTATTGATTATTCCTCTCCCAAACCAGGTTTGAAAATGAGGCTAGCACTCTGTCCCCTCCTCCCTGCCCCCAGTGGGTTGTGAAATCCCCCCCCCAAAAAAAACTCCTCAACCTATTAGATGTACATAGGCATGCCTAAGCAGCTCTTTGGGTGCCAGCCTATGAATCTTGTGACACCAATAAAACCTGTTTGTTACAGCAGGAGTCCATAATGGGTTGAGCAACAGCTGCCACTCAAACATGTTCTGTTCATTGTAAACTTAAGAAATCTGATCCAAGTCTGCCACCTATTGTCTCTTTCAAGCAAAAGCCTCATAGGCTACAAAATGAACATAACAACCCCAGCTCTTTTTGTAACAAAAAAGAATGTAGCAGGTTTGTTTTAAAAATAAAGTAAAATGAAGACTGTGACAGGATTATTTTCTGAAATGTAATAATACATTTAAGAATAGCCAATTACTGGGCCTTTTATTTACAGGGCAATACTATTCATGTTTGCTAAGAAGTAAAGGAAAACCTATTGGGCTTATTTCCCAGGAAAGTGTTATATAGAACTGCAGCTTTAGGCATCTAAATAAGGCACCCTTGTGTCTTCGTATCCAAACTCTGGACATGGATTATAAAACATCAAGCAGCCTCCCCAAAACAGCATCTAGGCAAGACTAGGTGGGCTTCTATGGGGCAGGCATTTCATACACATTGAGAGAAGGGCCTCATACAGCTGTAGGCTTTGCCCAGCCAGCCCCGGGAAAGTTTGCTTAGGGCTGTGCTGCAGATGGTAAAATTTCAGCAGCAACGCAGCTTGTAACAGAACTGAGATCCACTTGGTATGCTGTCAGTGTGACTGGTGTCCTTATAGTTTGGGTTGCCACTTTTGCTCCTTGTGTTGCTGGACCAGTGGTATTAAGCAAAATCGGGTGGGTAGTGTTTTGGGTAGGGCAAGCGATCTGGAATCCTAATTTGCTGTCTAGAACACAGGTAAAAAGTTAAAAAGCTTTTTACTCCTTGGGAGTAAATACCATTGCACTAGGTAGGATTTACTCATAAATAAGCAGGTTTAAGCTTACATCGTGGAAATAGTAGGCCAGTAAAAGGATTAGTCAAACCGATATCCTGCAAGGTTTTCACTTTTAGTCTAGCGACTCTAGCCTTCCCCAACCTGGTGCCCTCCAGATTTTTGGGGACTACAAATTGAAGACGCCTAGGTCGGATGAGGCTGTTTTAGTCCGATGCGTTTCCAGCGCAACAAAATCCCAGCAGCAATATTACGCACGCCAAGTCGGGAATACGCGCCAATTTGCGCAGCGCTCGCGCCTCGAGGTTGGGAAAGACAAGCGGCTCTAGGGCCTCCGAGGCCGCCGCCGCCGCCGCCGCGGCTTCCTCCTCCTCCCCTTCCCCACCCCTTGGCTGGGCGGGCCGGCGGCTGCGCGGGCCGAGCCGGGCGGAGCTCCCTCGCGCCGAGTCGTCGTTGCCCCTTGGCCGGTCGCGGCGGCCCTGGCAGAGAGCGAGCTCCGCGCTGCTCACCGGCCACTTCTGCACAGGCAGGTTTGCGCGCCTGGTTGGGAGAGGCGGCCGGGCGCCCAAGCGCCCTCTCCCGCTTCACCCGCCTCGCCCCCTTTCCCTGCTTCCTTCTCCGCTTTCCTGACGACCCTCGAGCGCCGCCTCCCTCTTCTGCACCTACTTCACCGGTTCCTATAGCGGTGGCCCGGGGTTCTCCCTCCCTGTGGTGCCCAATCTGGCCGCCGCTTTTTCCAGCCCTCCTCGCGCTCTCCTCCTCCTCACGTGCATCACCCGTTCTTGTCAGCTCCCCGTTCCCACGTGCCATTTCTGGGCCGCTGCCTTCTTACCTGCTTCTCTCCCCCCACCATCGTCTATATTTTTTTCCAGCACTCCCTCATCTCCTGTAGTGTATTGACGCCCCTTACTTCCTATACTCGCAGCGTTCATTCATTCGTTTGTTTATTATATTTCCATACCACCATTTCCTTCAAGGAGCTCAAGGTGGGGGACGTGGTTCTCCCTCACCCCCATCCGCACCCAGTTTTATCTTCACAACAACTCAGTGAGGTAGGTTAGGCTGAGAGGAAAGCAGCCACTGGTCCAAGGTCACTCATGGTGAGCTTCATGGCTGAGTAGGGATTCGAACCCAGGCCTTTCAGGTCTTAGTCCAAGGCGTGCAAAATATTCTTACATTGCAGGGGGTGGGACTAGATCAGTGTTTCCCAACCTTGGGCCTCCAGCTGTTTTTGAACTACAATTCCCATCATCCCTGACCACTGGTCTTGCTAGCTAGGGATGATGGGAGTTGTAGTCCAAAAACAGCTGGAGGCCCAAGGTTGGGAAACACTGGACTAGATGACCCTTGTGGTCACTTCTAGCTCTACAATTCTGTGATCCTATGATTCAGACTGTTTTGTTGCATCGTCAGGCATTTGACCCACCTAGCTCATATTCTGAGTTGCAGGGACCAGGGTTTTGGACATGGGTTTCTCCCTGCAGTACCTGGAGATGCTTAGGGACTGAACCAGGGATTTTCTGCTTGCAAAGCAAGCGTTCTGCCACTGAGCCCCAGGCCACACTTTCAAACCTAAACGTCTTCTCTTGCAAATATATTATCTGGTATTGCACTGCTGCCTTCATTTGCTGCTTCCCAAGTGTTTACAAACCCATCTTCTCTCCCTCCACCTCATCCTCCAAATAGCATCTCAGTTCCTCCATTCCTCACTTTTCTATCCTGTAGCCAGAGATTCAAAAGCGTCTAGTATCTCCTTTATACTTACTTTCATGATTATTTTTTTACGTATCAACCTTTTGTAGATGGATATTGGCTAAAACGTTTCTCTTCTGAGGAAATAAGGAAGATTTTAAGATGCTAGTGAGCTTTTTTGCAGTGTAGAGGAATGGCCATTTTGTATTAGATTTTTAATAAGCTTTGCCTCAGATTTGTTGAAAGCAGACATTTAAACTTGTTAACTGTTCATGTTAGCAAATTCAATAAGTAAGCTCCATGCACACAATGCACTAGACCATTTGCCTATAAATGATTATGCCATTATGAAATTGTAAACTTAAGTTGCCAGGGCACTGTATTCCCCCCCCCCCCCCCAAAAAAAAACCAACCCCATCCAAACATTGGTAATCTTCTGGAATTTTAACATAGAGGAGATATGGCACTTTACACTCAAATGTGGGTTAGAATAGTGGAAGAATTATGGTTTGCAGATGTTTATAGCACAACAATTTGGTCTTTTAGAGAAGAGTGTTGTAGCATATGAATGGAAATAAGAACTCTCTTAGCTTCAGAAATAATAAAGTGCCCTGGGGCACGTTAAAAGACCTAGGCTGCGACACACACACACGCTCCATAAGGCTGACATAACACTCATGTTTTGCAACTGCCTGGATGTGATAGCTCTGTGCAGCCGCAATCCTAACCCCACTTACTTGAGAGTAAGCCCGATTGAATTCCATAGGATTTATGTCCAAATAGATATGGTTAGGATTGCATTCTGGCACATTTATGATGGCCTGGTCCTTTGTGGACTAGGATCTGCATTACTCTAGAACCCAAAAACTTATAATAAATGAGTAGCCTTTTAAGGTGACAAAAAACTCTTTGTTTTTGCTGCAACAGATCGCTTTTGGATATGGCTGCTGTTCAGGAAGTTTCTAGCTTCAAATTATGTATTTATAAACCCACAAAAGTATTTTTATAATACCATAACATAAAATATTAGTAAAAAAAAAATAGTATTTTATTAGCTGCATTTCATACTATTGTATAGTAAAAGTAGTTAAAAACACAGCAGCACATACATTTAAAACAAAATTAAAACCATATATTGTATTAAAATTCAAGGCGATGTACAAGTTTAAAACAAAATGCAATTTACGGTAAAACAGAGCAGATAATCATTAAAGTGACTGACTGATAAAAGAATTAAACAGCTACAAAGGACTGTTGCCATGAAAGTCTTCAAGAGGCACCTGAAAATCTATTTCTAAGTATGATTATAATATGTAAAATATTCCTGCATTGCATTGCAGTGGTCATGGAGGGGAGCTTGGACCATGAAAGGGAGCCTGAAAACTTTGGGGAAGAGTCCACACTGCACTGTTGAAGCTCTGAAAGAGGAACACTGCACTTTTCATTGTTTTGTAGTCATAATAATACTTTATTTTTTTTGCAAGCCATCATGATTAATTATCTGGTTTTCCTCCAGACTGAAACATGGCTGAGGATCCTCAGAGAAATTTCCGATCGGTGTATTATGAAAAAGTAGGATTTCGTGGTGTTGAAGAAAAGAAATCACTGGAAATTCTTCTGAAAGATGATCGGCTTGGTATGCTTGGTAGAAGACCATTTTATATCACACATTCTGTTTGAGCTCACTTAATTGCAAGCCTGTGCGTGTTTACTTGAAGGAAAAGCCCGTTTGACCCAGTGAGGTTTGCTTCTCATTTACAGGCAAACTTATCAAGTTTGCACTTTCCAAAACAATAAGTGAATTGAAACACATAGCACTTGTCAAAACTTGCAGTGCGGTTCTCTAGCTAAGCAGTGTGTACAAAAATGCATCTTAAAGAAGATTCCATGCAAAACTGTGCATATTTGCAAAACTGCATGTATAATGTTTTCGTTAGGAGAAATTTGCACCAAAAAGTTGAATTTTCATAGGGATTTTTAAAAATAATAATAAAAAATCACAAATTGCAGCAGAAATGTGAATTCCAGACTGGAAAAATGACAAATTGAGGGAACTAAAATTGACAGATTTGTCTATCCCGTTGCCTGAGTAAATTTTGCTTTCTTCCCAGATTGGCTTACACTCGGCCTCAGTCTGTATATTCTACACACAAGGGCGTGGAAACATTTATCATTTCCCTCTAAGGCAGAATATTTTGTGTGAACTGAAGATTATGCAATTCCCTTTTTGGGGAATGGAATAGATACACACACACTTGTGTGTGAATGAATGCACCTGTTTGTTAGTTCACAACACATTCTGTACTCTCACAACATGTGGAGTGTAACCTAAGACTTAATGTGAATGATCTCTCCTCTGTTTCCAGCTTTCCCTGAGATAACTGTATGGGAAAAGATTTTGGACCTATCTGCACTATACGTTTAAAGCAGTGTACTTCCACTTTAAACAGTCATGACTCCTCTCAAAGAATCCTAGAAACTAGTTTGTTTGCCTTACTCTTTCTAACATCTTTTTGTAGGGAGCTTCCTTGGCCCTTTTTGAAGGAAGCCAAATGTATTTGTTTTTTAATACTTTTGATTAGTTTTGTTTTGTTTTGTTTTGAATTGTTATAATTTGTATTGTTTGTATTCGATTTTGTGTGCTTATTCTTTGTTACTCGCCTTTATTTTTTAAAAAAACTGAAAGACGCTATCTAAATAGTAATATAATGCAACAATACCCGGAGTTCCCAGGGAAAAAGGAATTAAGCATTAAACTGTTATGGGGATTGTCATTCTGTGAGGGGAATATGGGTCGCCTAACAATTCTCAACACCTTTACCAAACTCCAGTTCCCAGGATTCTTTGGGTGAAGCCATGACTTGTATGGTAGTACAGTAGGAGTGGGCAACTTCCAACTGCTCTGAGACTCCAGCTCCCATTTGTCCAAGCCAATATGACCAATGGTCAGAGATTATAGGAGTTGTAGTCCAGTCGCAGATTTCACATGCGTGGGGGATACTTCTTTATTTAAAAATAGGTACTGTACCTGTTATTAGTTCTACAGTATTGGGTTACTGAACTTGAGAATGAATATATGTATACGTATGTGTGTATAAACAGTATATGTATGTATTTATGTGTATATGTATAAACACACACACACACACGGTTTCATTTTAAAATCAACTAATTTTGTGTTTGTTCAATTATCATTGATTTGTTACACTTAACCAGTACAGTGGTACCTTGGTTCTCAAACTTAGTCCGTTTGACTCCTGAAACCGTTCGAAAACCAAGGCACGGCTTCTGATTTACTGCAGGAGCTTCCTGCACTCAAGTGGAAGCTGCGTCGGACGTCCGGCTTCCAAAAAACATTTGCAAACTGGAACACTTACTTCGGGGTTTGCAGCGTTCAGGAGTTGATTTGTTCGGGAGCCAAGCCATTCGTGTACCAAGTTACCACTGTATTTCAAAAAGGCACCCATTTTGTGGTTTCAAATTTATTTACCTTTAATTGACAGCAATTGATGAATCAACCAAAAACTCCTACAAACTGTTTTACCCTTTACCATAAATCTTTTGAATGTTGCTGCCAGGTTTTCATTTTGCAAAACGACTAAAAGTGGAAAAAGCATGTGTTTTAAATTGGGTTTGTTAACCTTTAAAAGCCCGAATGATTCTCTGATGCCTCCTAGAAGCATGATTGGTGCTGTACACGTACAGATATGTCCTGGTTGGTGTCAGTTGCTGAGAACAGAGATGATTCATAACCCCGTTCGAGTTCTAAAATGGTGTTTGTTCTTAAACCCCCCTTCACAGATATTGAGAAGCTCTGCACATTCAGTCAGAGGTTTCCTCTCCCATCCATGTATCGGATCCTTGTGTGGAAGGTGCTTCTAGGTAAGATGATATGGGGAACGTAGATTCTTCATTAGAAACATAAGGGCAAGTTTGGACATATTCTTACTGTAATGCTAAGGAAAGCCAATCCATGTTTTGAATGCTCCATTGAAGAAGCCTTTGCATGACATCAGGGACAGGACTAGTTAATGCTCACATATTTGTTAATTTCTTGAGCATTCCTTATATCCAGGGCTTATAGTACTTAGTTGATCAGAGAAAAACAACAACTGCTGTCAGAAGATCTAACCTTCCACCAGAACGTGCAAGTACATGCAAACCTAGTTCTCCTTTGTCTCTCTTCTTTTCCCAGGAATTCTTCCGCCTCACCATGAATCTCACGGGTTTGTGATGCGATGCCGAAAGGAGCAGTATAAGGACGTGCACCATGCGCTCCGAGTAATTCGCTTTATCAAGGATTCTACCCCACAGGTTGAAGTTTTCCTCCGAGTATACCAGCTGGAGTCGGGAAAGCTTCCTCGGAATCCATCTCTCTCTTCGGTCAGTCGTGCTGAAATTTGCCCTCGACAATACTCCTTTGTATGAAGGTCCAAATCTTTTCCATCTGAAATTCTGCTACAGTGAAGAAACTGTACAGTGGCCACATGAACTGCAGTATCTTGAGAGGTCAAATTCAGCCTTAACCAGAGATACTGCAAACAGGGCTTAGGGAAAGCCCGTTCTGGTACCATCTAGGGCAGGCACCCCCAAACTCGGCCCTCCAGATGTTTTGCGACTACGATTCCCATCAGCCCTGACCACGGGTCCTGTTAGCTAGGGATGATGGGAGTTGTAGTCCCAAAACATCTGGAGGGCCGAGTTTGGGGATGCCTGATCTAGGGCATGTCACAGAATGAATTTCCCTTGTAGTTAGTGGCAAGCATGGCAGATATCCAAGCTGGAAGTTGGCAGCCACAGTAGGATTGGGTTGCTGAGAAAATATCCCTCAGTATGGTGACCTTGAATGGGAAGCAAATCCCTGTCATATAAACTCCCTGGAGAAGGTATAATTAGCCATCTTTAACACTTGGATGGAGACGCGGGTGGTGCTGTGGGTTAAACCACAGGGCCTAGGACTTGCTGATCAGGAGGTCGGCGGTTTGAATCCCCGCGATGGGGTGAGCTCCCGTTGCTCGGTCCCTGCTGCTGCCAACCTAGCAGTTCGAAAGCACGAAGTGCAATAGGTATGCTCCGGCGGGAAGGTAAACGGCATTTCCGTGCGCTGTTTTGGTTCACCAGAAGCGGCTTAGTCATGCTGGCCACATGACCCGGAAGTTGTACGCTGGCTCCCTCGGCCAATAACATGAGATGAGTGCCACAACCCCAGAGTCAGCCATGACTGGACCTAATGGTCAGGGGTCCCTTTCCCTTTCCCTTTACCTTTAACACTTGGATGAGGAACCTATAGCTCACCAGATGTTGGACTAACTCTCATAAACCTCAGCCAGGATGTTCAATGGTCATGGATGATGGGAGTTGTAGTCCAGAAATATATTGGTGTGCCACAACTTTGTCATCCCTGTTTTAGCACATAACAGAACATGGCACCTTACAACAGAGGAGCAAGGTTATTATATGTTGTCAAATAACAAAGTTGACTGGAAAATGCTGTTCCGTGCATGTGTGGCCTCTTGATAATCCCATGCCGTGGCTGCTTTTCTTTCCAGGAAGCCGAGGACGAGGTATTCCTTGCCATTGCTAAAGCTATGGAAGAAATGGTAGAAGATCACATTGATTGTTATTGGCTCATCAGTAGCTTTGTGAACCAGTTGAACAATAAGTACAAGGATTCAATACCACAGCTGGTAAGAATATTAAATGCATACATATCTATTCATCCCACACAGGAACAGAATAGTGAGATTACAGGTATAGAAGTTGTACCAAGCACCATCTTCTACGTTGTTGCTGTTTCTGACAAGCTCTTGCAAAAATACCCTGTGTGGACTTGGAAACCTAATTATTCTCTGGATTCCTTTTTTTGGAGGGGATGAGGGAAATGCAGTGCAAGTTTCTAGAACAGCTGTGCAGTGACTAGTGGGTAGCTCAGGGCTGACTAATCTGTGGCTAGGCTACCATCTCCCAGCCAATGTGGCCGACAGACTTCTAATAAATATCACGGGGATTGGAATGCTGATGACAAGGAATGCAATCAAGGTTTTGGCATATATTCAGTTGTGTGTATAGTGGTACCTCCGGTTACGAATGGGTTGTGTTCCGGAGGCCCGGCTGTATCCCAAAAATTCTGTAACCAGAGGACCACTTCTGCGCACACGCGTGGCAGTGCAGAGTGCTTCTGCGCATGCACGAGCAGCAAACCCACTTCTGAAAATGTATTGTTCCAAAAATGAAACTTTCATCTGGTTGTAAATATTAAGATTATACCAGCAAGAATGAGTCTTTCTGTAAAAAGAAAATTAAATTAAATCAAGTCTTACTGACTAGTGATTTAAATCGTGATTTAAATCAATTTGATTTAAATCAAATCCACCCTGCCTAAGAGTCTTAGGCTGCCACCCTTTGGCAGGGAAGGGGTTCAGCTTTGTTCTTGCACTGAATGAATGAGGCCAGTCCCTTGTTTCTAAGCAGCAGTGATGCAAATGCTTGCAGAACCGCCTTCATTCATTCCTTCCCCCATGCAAACCGCATGCCAGGCTTCACGCTTTAATAGAAAGAGAAATTTGTAGAAATAATTTTTGCAATGTCTAGAAATCAAATTTGATAGGGAAACACTTTGGCTTGAACTTTCCTTAGGTGATGATGATTAAAAAAAACTTTCTATACTGCCCTTCATCTGAAGATCAGAATGCTGTTTACAACATAAAAACACAAAAAATACACATAGCACAATAACAAACAAAAACAATACTGCCTACAGTTTAAAAGGCCATAGATTGTTCAAATAGCCAAAGACCTGGGAGAAGAGGAATGTTTTTGCCTGGCATTTAAAGATACGTAATGAAGGCGCCAGGTGAACCTCCCCGGGGAGAGCATTCCACAGGTGGGGGAGCCACCACAGAAAAGGCCCATTCTTGTGTTGTCACCCTCTGGACCTCCTGAGATGTCCTCTCTCATCACTTTTGAAGACACTTGGAAATAGGGGCATGTGTCAATTTCTTTCGACTAATGAAGAGTAAGTGATTTTTTTCAGATATATGAATGATCCAGTTTAAGGAGAAGGGAACAGGAGGCAGATTTACATAAAAGATGACATTATAGAGACCCAGTTTTTCTCATTGGTGCCAGTCCTATCTGAATTTCTTTAAATTATTAATAAAATCATGTTTATAGTAAAATATTCAGATATAATAGAAGACGAACAAATGAAAATAAACAAGCAGATGTTTAATTAACTGCTAACCTTGTCGAAAAGGTGTCCAAAGAGAACTGTTTACTGAAGTGAAGAAAACTGTGTGTGTGTGTGTCAGTGTCATTCAAAATAATAGAGTATTTCTGGATGGGAAGTTACTGTGGAACCAGTGCTGCTTATAAACCCCCGTTTTTTGTTTCAGTGTCCACACATTGCTGTGGTCAAAATGACAGCCCATACTTTTTTTGTTTACATTTAATCTGGACTTCCTCTTGTGGAAGGGGTGTGCTTATAATGTCACACATGTACTTGCCATGTCTGAAATCTATAGTTTTGGGAGTGTGGGCTAATCTCTAGCATGCATGTAAGATGCCGAAAAGCCACCCAACAGGGTTGAAGAGCAGGTAAAACCAGAAAGTTGCTCCCTGCTGATGACAGTTTCCTAGTATGTGCTGTTTCCTTCCCCACCTGTCTCCTTTTTTACTAAATTAAGAATTGCTGAATTGCTGTATTGTTACGAAGTCTCAAATTATTCAGTATATACTCTTTTTGGAGCCTCACAATCAATAAATATGGAAAGGTTTAGTGAGCCTTACATTTTGGATCTGACCTTTGAAGAACATTATCTGACATGACATTTTTCACAGTGTGTCATGCTGAATCTTTTTCTTTTTTCTTTTTTTAAGGCTCCTTGCTGCTTGTGGTTTCTTGCTATAAATACCTGAGACAGTGAGATTTATTATTGGACATTGATATACTTTATCACTTCTCTTGACATTTATCCTGCAGCCAAAACTTTTGGAACAGTACCTGAGCCTTGAGGACAGCGGACTCTTAACGCATCTGAAGTTGTGTTCAGCAATGGACCATCTTCCTTACAATCTTTGGTTTAGAAAGTGTTTTGCGGGTTGTCTACCTGAATCCAGCTTACAAAGGTAAGCATCTTTCCTCTCCCGCCCAACTTGGATCAATCAGATCACTGTAGCGTCCTTGAAAATAATCTGTTGTCCATCTTTAGCCTACAGCCCACAATACCACAAACTCCTGAGTAGTGTTCCCTCTCCCCTGACCAATGCTGCAGAGTACATTTATAGATGGAATATGTTAGCTGCAAGATACCTATAACCTCACCTCCAAACTCGGGAATGTTGCATGAATATCTTTTGACAAGTCAGAACTTTTTGACATTCTAAAACCTGTCAGTTAATGTTATATAGGGAGTGATGCAAACTTTGGCATTTTGTGTTCCCTGCATCTTGCACCAAAGGGTGGAAGTGTGAGTTGTCATTTGCTGCTAAATGTCTTGGTCCTGCCATGACTGAGATACTATTTTGGTCAGGAAAGGGAAAAAAAAAACACTTCAGTACTGAATGTAAATTATAGCTATAAAATTGTAGGCGTGCAGTTTTTTATGACTCTGTCTTTTCTAGGGTTTGGGACAAAGTTATTAGCGGCTCCTGCAAAATTCTGGTCTTCGTTGCTGTTGAGATTTTATTAACCTTTAAAATGAAGTTGATGGCCTTGAATAGCGCAGGAAAGATTCAACAGTTTTTGGAAAATGTAAGTACTCTTCCACACACTAATATACTGTGCTGCCCCCCCCCCGCCCCGGGGCGGGAAACCCACATAAGGGATTTGTTTTGCTTATCAGATTTTTTGGGGAGAGAGGTGGTTGTGAGAGAAATCCAACTGAGATTTTGCCCAGTGTTCAAGAGTTGCAATTAAAAGTTTGCAAAATTTAAAAAGGTACAGTTCAGACATGGCATCAAACCATGATCTGTGCTAATCAGTTTGGTTTGAGCTTCCAAAAGTAAGAGACTTTCACAATGGTTTCTCAGTTCAGACATAACAGCAAACCAAATTTAGCACAAAACACAGCCTGCACGACAGCTTCAGTATCCATGTTTTGTGATGTGATTTAGGTTCAAATATAAAAACAGACCATGGTTTGTCTTGATGTCTGAGTGGAAAGGAGAGGATTGTCTCAGTGACTGAGCCGGGCTCTGGAACTCATTCTTACCTGAACAGGGCCTCCTGCTACACTCCCCTCTCCCATGGATTTCCATAAGATGGGCCAAAAGATTCCTTTTTATAGGAGCACTTTTGAGCCATAAATAGTCACTGCCTTTCCAAGTAGCTTTGGTTATGTTTAGCAGCAGTTTTGTGGGTTCCCCTCCTTTCTCTCTCTGCTGTTTTAATGCCTTACAGCTGCTTTCTTTTATTTATTTGTTGTTAGTCTTTTTTAAAAAATCATTTAAGTTGTTATTTTAACTTCTGTTGCTAGCCACTTTAGGCTTATTGAGAAAAGACGGGCTATAAATGTTTTAAATAAATAGAACTCGTTGGCTACATTTAAGCAGGTTGCAGGATTAACTTGACCTTGCGACTCCCTCCCCCCCAACCCACCACATGGTCAAACAAGTTCACAGACTACAATGCTGTATCAAGCCAGTTTATCTTTTTGTATTTGCGTGAGTGGCCATTCCATGCACACTCTCTCCTATTTTCATCTCTGTTGGGGAAAAGAGAATATCCTAGATGCAGGAACGGACAGGAAAATAAAGAGTGGAATTGTTTGATGTGGACGACCCAGTCTGGATTTCCAGGTGTGCTCTGATGCATGCTTGGACCTTTTTTTGAGAGGAAAGTTCTCCTTTCACTTCACTGATAGGGGACAACTCCTCCCCACACCAAACTGTTTGCATGCAGGGAGCTACTTCTTACTTGTAACTGAATAAGCAAAAGAGTGTGCTCTGTGTGCGTGCATTAGCAATTGGCGTGAATGGATATGGCACGAGTTTGGAAGAGCAATCCTATAGTGACTGGTCTTTAGCTGCCTTTAGGTTTGCTGCCTGAGATACTGAAGTACTGGAATTCCTCAAACTGAATATCTCTTTTAATCTTCTGTAGATACCTCAAGATAACACGGATGCAATAGTGAGCAAAGCGATTGAGCTGTGGCACAAACATTGTGGGACCCCTGCACATTCAGTCTGAGACCATGCTGCCCACAGGTACTCTTTTATTTTATTTGCCTTCCCTTTGTCCTTCCTTCCTCAACAAAACCTACTTAAAATTATTTTAACAAAGGAGATGGGGGAGCAATAAAATTGCTATCACCGTATCTGATGGAAGTGTATAATTATATCTAGAAGGGGTGGTTTTAAGTCATCTGAAGTCTGTGAGCCCTTACCTGCAAGTGGAGTCCCATTTATATCAGTAGAGTTGGATTTGTTTCCAAGTAACCTTGTTTATGGGATGTACAAAACAGGAGCCATAATCAGGGACTTGATTGACTTTTTTTTTTTTACTCTTTGGAATAGATTCCTGCCTGGTTTTCTATCACTCATTCCTCATGGCACTAATTTGGCTTTAATTCAAGAAATCAGATTAAACTGAGATGTTCTCCTGAGCAAGAGCTGCCTCTTAAGATCCTGTTGCAGATTTTTAGATCTTTGCAAGGTCCTCCCATAGGGTTAGGAAACTGGCTGCACAGGCCTTGCCTCCAGGGCTACCTCCCGAGGTTCCTAGCATACGGATCCTCTTTCCCCACTGCACTGGAAGGAACAGAAAGCAGCTTTGGCAGAGCTTCCCCCCTTTTACCTTGGCAGTCCAAGAGTGGGAAATAGGAGGAGGCAACTCAAGGTACATAACAGAGTAATTCTGTTGGTTTCTCCTGCTCTTTATATTGGGGCAGAAGGGATTAGAGCTCTTTGCATGTGCCTTGGTTCACATTTGGGGGTGTCAGGGGGTACAGCTAATGTTGTTGGTCCTTGGGATATGTTTAGTTCAAAATTTGATCCCTGGTTTGTTTGTTTGTAGAAATCATGTTCAGTGGTAGCCCCTGGCTGGAACTAGAGAGTCCCAAATACGTAATTTTTAAACTAGGTGCTGGTGATGACGACTGTGTAGGCTTCTGAATTATCCTTATTATCTTGACATGGGCTCTTTTTTTGAGCTGGAACTCACCGGAACTCTGTTCCGGCACCTCTCGGGGGGGGGGGGCGCTACTGCCATTATAAGAGAACAAGGGAGGCATTCAGGGTGGGCTCCAGCATCTCTTTTTCTAGAAAAACAGCACTGCTCTTGAGCTATTTTGATCTGGTTTTTAGTTTCGGGATTGACAGACCTGTGGAGGGGGGCACTCTGAGAGTTAGATGATGTGGGGGCATCCTTGTCAGTTCTGCCGGCCCTCTGAACAGCTTGATACTGTGAATTTAAGATTATCTCTATTGGCTCAGGCCAGAGACCTATCCAGTCCAGCATTCTTTTTGCCCTGGTGGTCCACCAGATGGCTGTGAGAAGCCTGCAAGCAGGATATGATGGCAACGTCTCCTTCCTGCTACTGTCTCCCAGGACCAAGAGGTGTAGTGGCTCTGATCCTGAAGACAGTATATAGCTATTCGGACTCATAGCCATTGGTACCCATGAATTAGCCTGATTTTAAAGTCAGTCCAATCTGGTAGCCATCATTGCCACAGCTTGTGGCAGCAAATTCCACCGTTCAACTTTGCACTGTGTGGTGAAGTACCTCTTTTTTGCTTGTGCTGAATTGCCCAGCCTTCAGCTTCATTGGGCTACAGTTGGTATTATGAAGCAGGAGCAAAGCCTTTTCTCCAATCATTTTCTACCCCTCAATCATGAGCCTGGTTCATTGCCTTGTTTCTAAACTTGAGTCTCCTCAGGGGACACGGCTTTTCATTTTGGCAGTGTTGCTCCAAATCCCCTGATCACTTTGGTTTTCTACTCCCTTTTCAGATCCACCCAGCATGTGAAACCATCACCAGCCAACCTGGGAGATCCCTCCAATCCTGGTAGGCAGTTAAGCACTGACAATAAAATACTGATTCTCACAGGCTTGGTACGTGATGTCCTTTTAACTAAAATAAAACGCCAGGGTCCTTTGCCTTTCAAAAGGTCCCTGTGCTGCTCTTGCTTGCATCATGGTTTGCTTTTCATTTTAAATTGTTTAAAAATTTAGTTGCCTTGCCTAGTGATGTGGAAAGTTGGGGCTTAAGTAGAGGAACGTTCACTCAACAGCTCCTTTATTCTCTTCGCTTCCTTTGCCCACTCTGTTCCCTTACCTTACCCAGCAAGGAGAAGTGTTCCCCTTATGCCTGAGTCTTTTGCTCCCTGTGTGCCTTGCCAGTGTTTGAGCTACAGCTCCTATCTGGCACAAGAGTTGAAATCCAAAACTTATGCAGGGCAGCAGCTTGGGGAAGGGTGCCCTAGATAACCAGCCTCCCCTTTCCTGTACCCTTTGTGTTTGGAAAGAGTCTTTTCCACCATCCCACCCACTTGTCAACTTTAATGGTGTCCCAGTTCTGTGTGCTCACCTCCATATTGATGTTCCTCAGAATGTTAGTACTTTCATACAATAGTAGCGTTATATTAACCCATTATTACATTAGACCATGTAACGGATCCTAACTGGTTAACCAGTTGAAGCATGCAGGGTAGCAACTGTGCCCATTTTAGATGATGCTTGCAGAATATTGACACCCTTCCCACACACACACACTTCAGCCTTCTGCTTTATTAATTTGCGAAGCTGTCAGTCTTGCAGAATGCTCAGCTCTCCCAATCCGTGTGCTTCGACCGCAGATTACTTTAATATGGCAGAGAATGTGGTTAGTAGTTGCTTTCTGATAAAATCCCTATTTTATTTTTGACTGATGTTGGTGTTAACCGTCTTCCATCAACCGTGTCAGTTAGTGCATGAATGCTGAGACGCACAGCTGTGAACCACTATTTAAAGCTCAGGTGTCAGACTATTAAAAAAAACCCCAGAAACCCCCAAACCTTTTCCTCTGTGGCACGCTGGTGCTACTTGAAGTTGATGCGATGAGATAAACGAGCTGTGCTGAACTTTTCACACGAACAATAGCAATTTTAGATCAATGTTTTTTAAAGGCTGCGAGAAGCCTTCTGCAGTGTCTAGAAGTCAATCAAATGCCACCATTTAAATGTCAGTGGAAAGTTCATATCTAATCACCCTGTTGTACGTACAAAGAATAAGATTGCAAAGAGAATTTTCCTTTTGTGCGTTGTGTTACTCAGTTCTTTCATCAACAACTCTGTTTCGTGTTTGGGGGTGGGAGGTGATGAACGCAAGTGAGCCTTTTGGTAGAGACCCAACTAGTAATGTAGAATCTAGGGTTGCCATATACTCAGAAACTTTTTGGCTTTTTTTGCAAAATCTCGAAGGAAAAAAAGCTAGATTTTCACTTTTTGAAATAGTGCACTGATTACTAGGGTTGCCATAACTATAGTGTTTCGGGTTTTCTTGCTCTCTTTCGAAATGAGGCAAGGCCTTTCATTTTATGAAAGAACAAATTATAAATTTTATTGTTATAAGAAGAAGCAGGTCTTTCCCCCCCTAGCTGGAGCTCACCAGAGCTCAACTCTGACACCTCTCAAGTGGGTGCCATTGCCCTTCTAAGAGAAGCCCATGTGGTGAGCTCCGGCACCTCTTTTTCTAGGAAAACAGCACTGATGATAATGTTCTGTCAGAGCTACACCAGTGTAATTCTTCCATCCTGGCGCAGCCAAAGCCAGAGTTATCCCTGAAAAAGCAGTGTGGGTGGCGGCGGCAGGGTGAGACTTGCCCCCTTTCCAGGCGCCTTTTGGCTCGGTGACATGACCTAGAAATTTACACTGGCAGAAAGGGTGTTCCAAATAAAAAAAAGGTGTGTAAGTAAATTACACCAGCATAATTTACCTTGGCATATTACTCTGGCTTCCTATAGTTTGGATTGCTCTGCCAGCCACTCAAATGATGCTGATTTATACTTCCTGGTTATCTGTGTTCCTTGTTAAGTTTCCTGCACGCTAGAGGGAGCAATTCTGCAGAGAAAGGCCCCTTTGAGCTTTTAGCCACTATCATGTTGTCGTTCAGCATTCAGTTGGTTCTGGTTTGTTGTTGTTTATTGTTTGTAGTGAGACTCAAGTTGCTGTTTAGTGGCCTGGAAACCTAAACAGAAAGGAAGGCAGCATATTCGAGGTAAATAAATTAGATGTCACTTCCGTGCAGCTTAGCATTTGATTGCAGCCCTGGATCATAAATAACTGTAGAATCAATAGCAGGCAAGAAAAAAAGACCATGTTTTTTCTTTTAAAATGATTTTTTTTAAGAAACTGCATACATCAGAGACAATTTAAATACCATGCAGTTTCAATATGTACAAAAACCCTAGGATGTAGAGATTCAGTTTTAGTGTTTCCTCTAGGTATTTACATTTTGTTCTGGTTTTTACTTTCCCCCCCCATACAGCCATAATCTGTTAAATTACAATACTGGAAGATCACAGGTTTGACTGTCACCACATTCACTCCTATACAAAGACAAAACTATGTACATACACTTGACTTGGAGAGTAACTGGAAAATGCACTGGTTCCAGAACCACTGAGATGCTCAGGCGTTACCCTTCCCTTGCTTTTCTGTTCACACAAGAATAAAGTTCGGCTGGATGAACAGGCGGGCGGAGGGAACAATTTTCAACCCTGTTTGCCATATGCAGAAACATCATCTGTGCCCTTTTTCAAATCACTACCCTTTGACAGATTTTGAGGGAGGGAGGAAATGGTTTTTGTCCATGCAGCAAGAGAAATTGCAGCTCTGTGCGAGATAACCTTCATCTGCATGTGAATCATAGAGGCATATTTAAGTGAATGCAAAAGTTCACTGCTCATGCTAGGGGAAATAAATGAGACATCTATGCAACCCCTGCTGAAATGAATGGAAGCAGGATGACAGTAAAGCCCATCTCCATAGATTTCAGAGGGAAAGGGTTGCCTTAGGCATTTGTAGTGGAGTGCACACTTCCCGTCACCTGTGATCACTGTGCTAGGGGAACAGCTGAATGGCTCTGCTCCAGACAAGACAAGAATTAAGCAGACTTGAAAAGTAAGCCATTTTTCAAATGAAAGTTTCGCCAGATCCATTCTATGTTACAGGGGGAAATAAATATCCATTTGTTTACTGCTACTTTTTGGAAGTGAATACAGTGCATTGCCTTGATCCAATAATTGGCTTCTTTCTTTGTTTGCACGGTAGGGACACTGAGCTTTTGGAACAGGTGTTTTGCACACGCAAGCCTGCTAGGAACCTGCCTGCCTGCAGAAAACAAGCAAATCCAATGTTCCATGCAATCGCAAGTAAAGGAATCTGCTAAGGGTGGACCCATCTATTTCCAAATGTACCAGTGGGCACAACAGCAACACAGTACGTAGTCACTCCCAGATCAGCTCAATGGTATCTTAATGTAGGGCAAGGGGGCATCTTCAAAGCAGTGCCACTGTACTAGCTCTGGAAGATGCTCCTTTGCATGTGGATAACATTGGGCTGAGCGCTAGGTCTTGAAAAGCTACAAGACTTGTATCGTGAATAGGCTCCCAACTGCATGTGTTAAGTGCTAAGCTGATAGCCCAGCCCACTTGGAAATTAATGTTGGCAGAAATGTGGGAAAAGACTCAGCATACTTCTTTAACCAATTGCATCACAAATCACAGTAAAACCAGAATAAGTGGTTTTACTTGCACAGAATTTGGCAATCTTATTGTTAGGAGGAAATGTTCTACCTTGTCTGGTTTGTAACCGTAGCCATAATTTGTATTTTTAACTGGAAGGCACACAGGAGATAAACCAGCAGGTAAATCGACCCCTTGTGCGCCCTCCAAGCCACTCAGTAAAGAATGCTGAGCCTTGTCCTGTGCTTCAAGGAAGAAAACAGACCCATAACCACACCTTGTGAATCCCCTGGCATGCTACCACACAACTGTTGATAAATGCAAGGTACTGAGGATCTGTAATATGTAAAAGCTTTTCACAGCATTGTGCCCACCCACTAGCTGTGGTGCCCAGTGATGGTGGGGAATGCCTTTTAGCCTCCTCAGCTAAAAAAGAAAAAAAAGTGCATCGCTAAACAGGCTTGTTTTTATTTGACTCGGGCTGAGGAGGAGAGAGGGCCTTTTCCATGGGGTGAGGAGAAAATGCAGGTTACCAATGTTCTGTTCAAAAAGAAAAGTTATGTTGCCCTATACAAACTTCTTAACAGCAGTGGGAAAGTGTGAGAAGTGAACTTTGCTTGGGAGAGGCATGCTCAGGGCTCAGCTGCTGAAAGAGAGTGGGGGTTCCTTACCAGGAGGCATCAAACTGGTGGGCTTAGCCAAAGTGCTTTCAAAGACAGGGATCTGGAACACTATCCAATGTGCAAGGGTCATCCTATTAAGAGAAGAGCCAATGCCTTAATAACAAAACAAAACAAAAAACCCCTCCACAAATCCAATCCAAATGCTTTGGTTCTCAGTATCATGCTGGGACATTCTTGACAACATATTTTGTTATTTACACCATGTAGTGTTCTACACAACAGAAATCCCAGCTCTTAAAAAATAAACGTATCCATGCGCACAGAGCAAAATTGACCCTACAATGATCTTGAGCTCATTTCTTCTCTGCATTGCACACCTTTACGGAACCTGCAGCATCTAAGTAAAGTTGGCGTGCTGTATCAATTTGGTTAACTGGCAGAGCTGCTCTGCCATCCAGCCTCTTTATGCAGGTGTAAATGAAAGCAGGAAGTTACCAAGCAGGGCAAAAGGCATCCTGACTCGTTCTGTCCGTAAAGGTAATAAGCATGTTACTGAATATCCCTGTAATAATCGGCAACAATTTCAAAACATCACTTTTTGCAGCAAGGGGGGGGGGGGGTCACTTGAATGAAAGAGATGGGTGACAAGGAATCTTCTGGGTGTTTCCCTCACAAAACAAATGGGTGACAGCCAGCCAGCCAGCCAAGAGATCCTCCAGGGATGATTCTTGTGAAGTGTCAAAGATAGGTAGGTCCTCTGAGCGGGTCTTGGCCTTCCCCCGCATCTTTCTAAGGTGCTCTCAAACAGAAAGAAGTGTTTGCTCAAAGTGTTGACCCAGAAGGATGGCAGGCCTCGTCCCAGCTTTTGTCCAGCAGGTCTATGCCCAACACCAACTGCCTTCAGCTTTCTTTGGAGTCAGATGGGAGATGCCTGAAGGAAGACGGGATGCATTAACGGCTGATCTTGGATGAGGATGGGGAATCCACACAGCAGAGTTTCGAATATGAGTGCCAACTCCTGGCCCAATTCTTGCCATGAGTGGCTTCGGTTGCTGAAAGTTGTGCCAACATGTCTCATGATGTAGTTCTACCAAGAACAGGAAAACACAAGTTTCCCTGTCGTCGTCGTCGTCTTCCTCCTCTTCTTGGTTTTTAAAAAGGCAGTCCAGGAAATTTACATTGTACATTAACAGAGAAGTGAATGGTACCAGCACTTATGGTTCTTTCCAGATATGTTTTGAAGATGGTGGAGTGCTCAATTTCTATGGTCTATGAAACCTAAAATTAAAAAAGGGGACGGAGAAGGGAAAGAAAGTAAATCCAATTGTGTTTGAACGAGTCAACCAATTTGATTGTTGCATTTCCCCCCCCAAACATTCAGAATCATGACAGAGCTTGGGGTCTGAAATATCCAATATAAACCTAATCCCTCAACAGCCCTGAGAACCATGGAGAAGTGAGTTGGGAGTTGCTGTGGGAATGAAGACCTCTCAACAATTTATCCTGATAGGTAGGATGGCACATAGCAGCCTTCCCCAACCTAGTGCCCGCCAGACATTTTGAAGTAAAACTACCATCAGCATGCTGGCTGGGGCAGACGGAAGGTGTAGTGCAAAGCATCTGGGGGGCACCAGGTTAGGGAAGGACTGGGTAGCAGAAGGACTGCCAGGCTGTCTTCCTGGGAAGGGAAGAGGTTAATTCTACCCAAAGCCACTGTGACTGTCCTAGCTGACTTGCACATTCTAAGACTCCCCAATTATATTCCTCCACCAGAGAGTCATTCATACATAAAACTACCGTGCAACTGTTGTGTGAATTACACTGCAATATGTCATAAGAGGTTCTCGGGGTCTTTTATTTTACACAGTATTTCACTCTCATAAGAGCTCCTTCATCTGCCACAAGAGAAAAGCAACACATACACATATTATGTCTGCCCATTACTCATTTCCATAATGGCACAAAGATCTCATTACCTTCCTAATGATTTTATAATAGGGGCTTCTTGGGGGTTTGTGTAAGTGGGATGACTCAACAGCATAAAAATCAAGATGTGGGGGGGGGGGTAGGTACAAATGGACATGGAAAACGAGCCCTGGTAGTTTCCTGTCACAGGGTTAGGAGGGTAGAATTCTGTGTTCAGATAGATAAGGGGTTTCCCAGTGTAACTGGTCTGTACACAAACACACTCCATCCAACATTCAATCCTTTGGTCTGACCCAGCAGGACTCTTCATAAGTTCTTAAATTCTGTGATACAAAGTTGAGTGGTACATCAACATTTTCAGAAACAGAAATGTGGACCTTTGTTATACATCTGAAAAAAATTCCAGGGCTAAACCAGCCCCCTTTGCATAATAATAGTAAATATATGTATACACCATTCCTGCCATGTTTTTGCTTCTATGGAAATGAAGCTGCGAATGTAGTTGCAAATATCATTGCATATAGCCCAAGGCAAGCCTTACATCTAGTAATACTACAGATGAATAGTATACAAAAAAAATAAAATACATACTGACAATGAAGGGGTCCTGGAGATTTTTTTTAAACCAAATATTGGTCAGGGCTACATATGAGCCTTTTGCTGATGGAGTTTGTACTGGAAATCTGCTTTTTCAGTCATTTTTAATTATTATTTTAAAAAAGCATCTCACCTTGTTAAATGCCTGCTTAATTCGTGAACTTCCATTTCAGTGCTTTTAAACTCATTGAGCTCTTTGCGAATTGCCGCCTGCAGGGGACAAATAGAAGCACGTAAATATGCAGCTGAAAAGCAGTATGAAGGTACATTCCACTTTTCTAAATTATGAATAGATGGGCACTAAATGGAAAGTGGTCCGTCTCTTACCAGATCAGTAGCTTGCTAGAGACACCGCTAGGAATGTGATACGTTATAGCAGCCTGGGTGACACTTGGGATGCTCACCTGTCAGTGTGTTGTACACCTGGATCCAATACATATTGACTAGAAGCAAGGGCCACAGTCTAATGGGACGTTTCTCCCAAGTATGCATGCACAGAATTGCTGACTATTTTAAGAAAAGGGGAACTATTCTAGCTGCTCTGAACAGGAAGGAAATTAATTCTATAGATATAAGGGTAGAATTTGGGGTTAAATCTAGTGAGAATAAAGCAAGTGCCGAATTAGGAGAGATAGATAAAAGACGTTCCCTTAAAAGGCATGGACACTCTCACCAAATAGGAAAACAGGAACCTCGTGCAGTTTTTTATCTTCAAAATGGCTTGTGCTGTAGAAGGCAAAAACTCATGCACTTGTAAATACTGAGTGTGTATTGGACACATATGATGGCTATATTTTATTTCAAAAAGGGGGGGAAGAGTCCAGGTTGCATGAGCTTTTGCCTGCTAGCCACAGAAGAAGCCACGAGGCAGAGACATACTTCTTGAGTTCCCTTGTCCTTTGCTGGTGAGTTTGGTACTCATTCCTAGTTCTTACACATTGGACTTTGGGAACACAGATCTGCCAAACATAAATCATCACACCAACCAGGAAAAAGACAGATTTAATGGAGATCACTCTACCCGAAGGTCATCACTACTTAAATCTTACGACCTGGGTCTTTTGCTGCTCACGCTGCTGCAGACCCAACAACCTCAGACCACATTTCAATTTCTGCTAGAGATTCTTCTACATCAATCTAATAGCGTCAAAAGAATTTTCAAAAGGGGTATATCACATCTTTCAAGGCGAAGTCAAATCTTGTCCGTCAGGAGCATGGGCAAATACCATGGAGCATTAACTGTCTCCTTTTAGTGAAAGCTGTCAGTTTGACTTTCCTCCAAGCTGTGATAAAGTATCCTCACAAACAGGAATAGACATGCCACTAACTGCAGGAGGACAATCAGGCTGCAAAGATGAACTCTCCGGAAGAGTGCACATGACCTCTTCTTCTAGCACACAAATGTTGAGTGATTTATAATGTATCTGTATTATCTCCTGTGCTGCTTATTTTTCGCCGTAGGTTCTGTGATGGCAGAAATCCACACAGAATCAATGGGGGCTTGATAGGCTAGACTGTGTCCTGAGAGGCCAGATCTAACTCAGATCTACCCAAGACTGGTGAAAGACTGCGGTTTTTAAGAGGGCTGGGTGTGGTTTGAAAGGGGTACCATTTCCCATGGAAAAATACCTTTTATTCTACTGTCTCCAGTCAAACAGTTTTGGGAGATAGGTGTAAGATAGGTGGTGTGTTGCAAGAAGGCCTCTTTTTGTAACTCAAGATACTTGGTACATTAAACCAGACATTAAAGAGACCACTGGGTTTGAGAATAAAGATTGACAAAATACAAGTTGCCTAAGCTATCACCTTAAGAAACACAGACCTTATTGATGCATTGTCATTCCAAGGCTGAATATGTGGCAAGCCTGAGTGCCATGGTAAGTAAACACAGAATAATTTCTTATCTCAGTTCTGTGGTATCCTGTACAGAAACAGCTTGCAAAATCTATTCCTCTGGTGGAATTGCTCAGCAAAAAAATGCATGCAAGTGTTGTCAACAAAGTATTTCTCAAATAATTACAGGCTTGATTTCCCTCATGCCAGGTTTAGTGATGGTGTAAATGTCCCACAGATTTTACTGGAATTAATGCAAATTTAAGCAAGTGTAAGCTAATGTTTGTGATGGGAAAATTAAAGAGACTTGGCAGAAAAAGCACACAAAAGAAGCAATTCTTTTGCAAATTCCTTGTATGAGCTGACCTGAACTGCACCTCCTAGACTATTGTGCAGATCCGACCACAGCCATCCTTTGGTTTTTGCACTTCCCCAAATTTTCTGATGCAATTTTTGGCTCAACAGCTTATAAAAATGTGTACATCAAGATAAAAACACACTTAAGCATTAGTTCTTTGGGAGAAAAGATGTTCAAAAACGCGTATTTCAATATGAATTTCTGTGCATTGAAGAAACCATAGATTAATTAACAAATGGGATGAAATAGACTTATGCAAGGACATTGTGGAGGGTGCTGGGCTGCAGCTCCCCTCATCAGTGACTATGGACTGTGCTGGTTGGGGCTGATGAAAGTTACAGTCCTACGATAGCTACCCCTGCATTAGACCAAGGCTCAAGCCCAAGGCTTCCCCTGAGCTACGTACCTTGTCAGCAGCTGTGAGCCGTGTCCATGGCTTGTCCGCCCGCCTGTCGTAGTCCTGAGCATCTGCCACTTCCACATAATCACTAAAGCGGATGAGAATTTTCCTTTCGCGCAGCTCTTCTACTGTAGGCCTTTGACTTAGCTGTGGGGAAAAAGAGAAGTGTTCCAAAATGTCATTCTTCCCCAAAGCGATACGCTGATTTCTTGTGCTGACCAAAGGGAAGGGGAGAGGGAAAGTTAAGAGAAATGCTGCTTTATTTTCCAGTTCCTCATCTGTGTCCAGTGGCTGGTTTTTAACCGCTGTTTCTGCCATCTTAACATTAGATGTGAGGCCAAGAGACATCTCTTGTACTAAAGGGCTGCCTATTATTTCTGAATACTGGACTGAATGCATGATTTGTTATTTTCACACCCACCACTGATTCGTCATAACTCCATCAAATGTTGAGGGAGTACAGGGCACCTTGTTAAAGTGCCTTCTTGGTGGTGGCATCATGGATGTGCAAAGTCCACTTTTCAAAAACTAGAGAAAACTTACCTGATCTATCAGACTGTAGAGACACATGGAGGCAATTAACATTGCTTTCCTTGCTTGCTGTTTATGACTCTGCATTTATTTGATTTCATAGTTACCACGCTATTTTCATACATTTTGGCAAGGAGGTGGTTCATAAATATTAAAATAAATAAATCTGACAGTTCCACATTGTTCTGAAAAGTTGACTGAGAAGCGTAGCTGCTGCCTCTTTGGTATCTCATACTGTTGGAAGAGGCTAACTGGTGCAACGAGACCCTAACTAACGGTGCAATGAGAGGCTAACTGGTGCAAAGTGACAATCAATTGGTGAAGTGAAGCCAATATATATTTGAGCAAGGACTCTGCAAATATGCTCACAACTCCATGTCAAACTGATGCCCTGTTCCTCAGGGTGCTTTGAAGCAGCTGGAACATGCATCCAAACTGATTAAATATTGCGCTTCACCCATTACTGATGTGCTGTTTCTGACCTGACTGAACAAGAAGTACAATTACAAATGGCCTGATCAGAGGCACGGCATCTCAAAAAGACTGTATTCTGTGACCTGACACAAGCAACTGGAGGTGTTGTGTTTTCTACATAAAACCACTCTGGGTTTAGTGACTTAACAATAAACTTGTTGGCAAGACGTTTTGCATCAAATGCTGCATTCTCAGAGCTTGTCAAACTATCTCCAACGGCCTGAAGGTGGACCTGACGGCTATCCTGCTTTTAAGAGTTGGTGTAAAAGTATTCTAGGTGAATACAATATTTTTTGAACCAGCTTTGCTGAGAATAGCTCTGATATGTCATCCCAAGAATATGGCAGTAATGGTACACCCAAAAGGAAGGCCTAATGGGGATCTTTTCATATCAGAAAAAATAACTCATTTGCTAGTGTACTTTTTTCCATAGGAAGTAAGGCTGAAGTATGTTGATTAAGCTTCCCCAGTTGTTACTTCCAGCCCAATTACATGCACATTTACTCAGAATTATTGAGGAGGAGTATATGGGGCAATAGTCAGATATGCTGTTGGTGGCCTACCAACTGAAAGAGCGTTTGGCATGCAACAATCTTCATTGTACCAAAACAATTATTTCTAATGCAGTGATGGCAAAAAAGTAGGACAACAGTGCCCAGAGAGGTCTTCACAAATCTGTCATACTTCCGTCATACTGTTAAGTCCGTATATTTAATAGTTGGTGATAGGCATTTACCCAAGAGCAGAGTATGGCTGAAAACGACTTATATTCCCCTTGAATGCACTGAACTTTTAATAAAGTAAGCAGATTTACAGGGATTTTCCAAGGATTGGGGCAACCTGTTGAGATCAGTATGTTACACAAATGCCTCTCTTAAATTATGTCCAATCAGTTTCATCTTTGGAACCATAGATAAGAGCAGCATTTTTGTTCTATTTGTCAGGAGCTACCCTAATCACAATTCTGGAAGAATGCTGCAACCCTAAATTTGATCTTAGGTCCTAAGGTCCTGTTGATACTAAGCCTTATCTCTTACAACTACCTAGACTGACTTTACGTTTAATTTAATTTACGTTCAATAACAGGGGTGAATTAAGGGCTTTCCTTTCACGGCCATGCCAGTGGAGATTCAATGGCAAGCCGTAGGGCTGTCTAAAATAGAATCCTTTCCCCAGCCTATAGAAGAGGCGAGAAACCTGAAATGAAATAGCTGAATTCACTTTGGGGACTTGGGGAAAGGTTTACCAACTCCATGCTACTCATGGGAGCATGGCCATGCTACCCAGTAGGACCTTGTAATGTCAATCCAACAATGGCCTCATACTTTATGATCTGATACTGGTGCAGCAGTTGATAACCTAATCTTAAATGTGTTTTTGGACTGGGATGTGGCGACTATAAAG